TCAGCGCACATCATAGCAGGCGGTCGAACTCCCGGTCGGTCGAACTCCCAAGGGGACAATTTGCATATTAGCCTTTTATTATATAGGATAGGCATAGCCCATAGACACAGACAATAGGGTGATGAAGGCGTGGAGCAGGGGCAGGCTAGAAGGGGTCAATGGGGAAAGGAAAGGGGGCATCTGTAATACTTTCAACAATAAAGATAAATTTTTTTAAAAAAGAAAGGGACGCATAGTTTTAAAACGTGGCCTGGATGCTGCACGGAGCGGATGACTTTCTGTGCACATCAGCATCCCCGTGGCTGACGTGGGGCGTTGGCGTGAGCAGTGCACTTGGTTTGATCTTTGGTTTGGGAATACATTTTTTATCTTTTTTGTTGGCAGATATGCTTCCCTGGTTTATATTTCACATGGGCTGTTTGAGAGTGTATCCTGGTGTCCTAAGTGCTCGACAGCCAACATTGTAGCTGCATCCCATGACTGTACCAAGGGTTACCTTTCCTGAGAGAATTATAAGTTGGTTTGTGCGTGGAAATATCTATTGAGCACCCACTGTTTGCACAACCATGAGAACATTAAGTAATAGTGTCAGTGATCAGTACAATAAAAGAGATGTCCCCAAACAGTGAGATGGTGACTGCCTGAGAGAAAATGCTGTTACATGTTAGCTCCTGGGATTCGGGGTCAGCACGTGATTAAATGTGGTTGGAAACGGAGAAGGATGCACCTGCCGCCCGTGGGTGCCTCTGCGCAGGAAATGGATGCTGCCGGTCCCGGCCACCTCAGCAGAGCTGGAGGAGGCGGCTTTCTGGTCAGGAATGCCATTTGAGACGGACCCCACCCGGAGACGCTGGCAGCTCAGAGCCGCTGGCAGCAGGGGGTTAGAGGCCAATGGCTCACAGACTGCCATTCGAGATGTGGAAGCGACCTGGCTTGTAAGAGCCAGACATCTTTTGTCTTGACTCTGTGGGCAAGCGCATCGCCAAACGGAAGATTTTTCTATTTCTTTGGGGATGAATTTACAGCTCCTCATACTGAACGATGAGAGCAAATGTGTATGTGGTTGAAGACGTGGAGCTGGCTTTGTCTGTGAGGTCTGTGAAGAGCAGCCTCCGTGCACATGAGCGATAGCTGGGGTTCTCATGCATGCTGAGGGCCCACATGGACAAGCACACACGTGCCCAAACACACATGCACAAGCACACACACATGCAAATGCACAAGCACACATGTGCAAACACATGCACACACAAGCTCAAAGCACACATGTGAAAACATACACGAACAAATGCACACATGCTCAAAGCACACGTGCACAAACACACATGTACAAGCACATGTGCAAACACACACATAAGCACACACATGTGCACACTCTCCATGGTGTTTTGAAAGTAACAGATACCATTACTTCAGTGAACTGGTTCTGAGGAGCCGAGTGGAGAGCTAAAGGCAGGTTTTAATCAGAACTAAACCCAGAGAACCCTGCGCTGAGACATCTAGTCCCCCTCCCCCTAGTCTGTGAGTAGGACCCGCCCGCAGGGTTCAGCCGGCTCCTAGAGGGACAGGGCACACACACCATCAGAGGAACAGATCCCCACTGGAGCCGCAGTTTCCCAGTGTGTTAGCTGGAGGTTTTCACACCTGAATCTCCTCAGGGACCGTCGTGTATCTGTCACCAAATGTGTATGTGGTTGAAGACGTGGAGCTGGCTTTGTCTGTGAGGTCTGTGAAGAGCAGCCTCCGTGCACATGAGCGATAGCTGGGGTTCTCATGCATGCTGAGGGCCCACATGGACAAGCACACATGTGCACAAACACACATGCACAAGCACACACACATGCAAACGCACATGCACACGTGCAAACACGTGCACACATGTGAAAACATACATGCACAAATGCACACACACTCAAAGCACGCGGCACAAACACATGCACACACATGTACAAACACATGTGCAAACACACATAAGCACGCATGCGTGAACATACATGTGCACGCTCTCCGTGGTGTTTTGAAAGTAACAGATACCATTGCTTCAGTGAACTGGTTTTGAGAAGCCGAGTGGAGAGCTAAAGGCAGGTTTTAATCAGAACTAAACCCAGAGAACCCTGCGCTGAGACATCTAGTCCCCCTCCCCCTAGTCTGTGAGTAGGACCCGCCCGCAGGGTTCAGCCGGCTCCTAGAGGGACAGGGCACACACACCATCAGAGGAACAGATCCCCACTGGAGCCTCAGTTTCCCAGTGTGTTAGCTGGAGGTTTTCACACCTGAATCTCCTCAGGGACCGTCGTGTATCTGTCACGTTGTCGTGAGAGAGGACACTGATCCAGAGCGGCCTGAGGAGCAGAGGCCAAGCCTCGTCCTCTGTACATGGGGCTCCTGCTGTGGTCTCTGTGCTGCAGCAGGCGCTCCAGCTCCCGTGGATGTGGGAGGGGCCGAGAGCAGCCCTGGGACAGGAAGTGGTCCTGGGGGAGGGTAAGGAGGGGAACTGGACTTAGGGTGGAGTGCAGAGTGGAGATAGTCTCAGAGTTAAATAAACCGGGTCCAGCCCTGGCTCCCCCACTCCCTGTCCCTGGGTAAATGGCCCCATCTTCCTGCCCATCAGCTGCCTCAGGGGGAGAGGGTTAAATCTTAGAACCCAGCTTCCACAGGCGACACCTGAGGGCTCTGTGGGGCCCACCCAGCCCATCCACCAGCCCCGTGCGGGCCCCCACGTGGCCTGGGAGCAGGAGGTGGGGCCGCTGAGCGGCTGGGCAGGGCCAGGGAGCTTGGGGGCTGGTCTCCCCAGCCTCGGAGCAGCCCATGCTTTCGGGGCGACTTACACACAGCAGGGCCTGGGCCGGAGCTGGCAGCCGCAGCCAGCCCCCTGCGACGCTTTTGAAGGCTGTGCGCTTGGGCCACTGGTCTGAGAGGCCGCGGCCACGACACGAAATGCGCAGCCAGGAGAATGCTGCTCCTGGGAGGGGTGTGACCACAGGTGGGGACAGCGACAGAGCCTGGGGTGGGAGTGACATGGAGGCAACACGCCTCAGATCTTTTAAGGACTGTGGTGTCTCTCACGTCACTCAGAGAGCCGGCCCTGAGGCGGGGAGACTGAGTCACGGTGAGGCCGAGGCGTGTGGCAGTGTCTCACACACACGTGTTGTCGGACCGAGCGGGGGCTGCAGCTGGTGGCCCGGGTCTGTTTCCTCCAGAAGCAGGTGGGAGGTGACCCAGGTTCAGCTCCTCTTCCTCCTCCGGCCCCCACGCCCAAGGCGGGCCTCAAGCTGCCCCCCATGGACACTGGGCTGTTTTGTGGTGATGACAGCGTGATGGCCTTATCTTCAGTCCCCCGGTTGTTTCGGGGGTCCCTGCGGGAGAGGGGCAGCCGGTGGAGGGGAGCCCACAGCCATCACGCTGGGAACCAGCCAGCGTGGAGGCAGCCCAGGCCGCCCAGGGAGAGGTGGCCGGTCCCTGCCCTGGGCAGCGCCTTGCTGAGCCCGGGACCGGGACGTGCTCCAGGCACCGCGGCCTCTGCTGCCTCCACTCGCTCTCTCATGTGGGTCCGGTTTCCTTACAGCGCGTTGAGTGAATGAGGAGGAGAAAGTGTGTGTGGGCAGAATTTCAGCTGCACAATGCCGAGGCTTTCCGAGTAAGCGCATGAATTTAAGCCAAGTGTCAGGTCAGCGGGGCTCAGAGTAATGGCTGTTCGGCCAGTAATGAAAAGTGCAAATGCGTTTGTGTTCCAAAGGGTAGCAAATGGGACTCTCCCCGTCTGCTCGGTCACAAAGTGGAAACTGCCCCCTGTCCTCGCTTTATTGCACTTGCATTTTCTAGGCAATTAGAAGCACTGTCCACTCAGCTTTAAGAACTTGGAGCTGGCTGCGGGCTCTTTTTTTTTTTTAATCCTCACCCCAGGATATTTTTTTCCATTGATTTCTAGAGAGTGGAAGGGAGGGAGGAGGCGGAGAGAGAGAGAGAGAGCAACATTGATGTGAGAAAGACACATTAATTGGTTACCTCCCCAGAGCTGGGGAACCTGCAACCGAGGTACATGCCCTTGACCGCAAATCTATCCCCCAACTCTTTGGTCCACAGGCCGATGCTCTAACCACTGAGCAACCGGCCAGGGCTGTCTGGAGACACTTTTTTTTTGAACTAAAGTTTCCCCTTTTTAAAACAATTTTTGGTTTTTACAAATAGACCAAAGTTTTGATGTCACAGGTTTTCAAAATAGCACACCAGACTTGCCTGCATTATTATTCCATTTGTCACGGGATTAGCACCTTCCTGGAGTAGATTTCTACACAAGTGTCTCATTGTGCCCAGAAGTACAGCTCTTCATAGCATATGATGTGGATCTAGGCAACACGGACCCAGCCCCAGCGGCTAGAACTTCTGTTATGAAGGCAGTGATTGCAAATAAAACGGGAGCCATTTATCTTAATGATCCAGGAGGAAAATGAAATGATCTCACCCTCCCCGTGAACCCCCCTGAAATTCATGGCGACTCTGTCTATTTTTATGAGCTTTTTGAAGTCATCTGCGTGTCGACTGCCTACAGCAAACAACAAATGATGCTTTAATTCCTTATGCCCAGCATTAGCAGGCTCACGTCTCCCTTAACAGAATGATGCCTTTGCCCCCCTCGTCTGTTGGAGAGCGTTTGGGGCCACTCCTGGTAAGACACTAGCCGGCACTGGTCCATGGCACCGGCCTGGTCTTGGGCTGCAAACAGTGCGGATAATGGTTCATGCTCTCCCCTCCAAATGCAGGGGAGACGGACATAATGGAAACTTACAGTGTCAGCGGGTGATTTTATTCCATTATTTTGAACGCAAGTGAGGAGGCATCCTGGCTAAAATGCTGAGAAATGGCCTTGGAGGAGCCCCGAGCACCGTGTATGCTGTGTAACGGGGGGATGTGCTCCTCCCCCCCACCCCCCGACGCTGTCAGTGGCGGTCAGGGCACGTGGAGAGCCCCAGTAATGAGCTCTGTGTCCGTTTCCTCCTCAGATCTCCCAGCTGATGACAGAGACGGGCCGGGAGGGCCTGTCCGAAGCGGTGCTGAATCGCTACAATGCAGACAAGCCGTCCGCCTCCGGCGCCCCGGCCTCGCAGGGCTCCTGTGTGGCCACTGAGACCTCCACGGGCACCTCCGTGGCCGCGTCCTTCTTTGCAAGGTAAGAGAGGTTTACAGAGCCTCGGTTCTCTCAGATCGGCCGTCTGGTTAGCCTCTCACGTGGGCCAATGCCGATAAAACACTAGGAAGTGTCCTGGCTGGTGCGGCTCAGTAGGTTGGGTGTCCCGTGCACTGAAAGGTCGCTGTTTGATTCCCAGTCAGGGCACAACTGGGGTTGTGGGCTTGATCTTCTGGAGGGGGCGTGCATGAGGCAGCCAATCAGATAATCTGATGTTTTACTCTCACATCAATGTTTCACTTGCTCTCTTTCTCTCTTCCTCTCTCTCTAAAAATCTATAAAAAATATCTATATATATAAAAGCCTAAGCGACCGAATGATCAAACAACCGGTTGACCGGTTGCTATGATACGCACTGACCCCCAGGGGGCAGACACTCAACGCAGGAGCTGCCCCCTGGTGGTCAGTGCACTCCCACAGCAGGAGTGCTGCTCAACCAGAAGCTGGGCTCACGGCTGGTGAGCGCAGCTGCCGTGGCACGAGCCTCTCGCACCTCCATGGCAGTGCTACCGAGCGGTGGTGGCAGCAGGCGCAGAGGGGCCGGGATGCAGGGAAGCGGTGCCTGGCCCCAGCTCGGGCTCCTCCCTGGCCGCCTGCCACTTCCCGCACTGCTACATCCCAAGGCTGAAACTGGCAGTTTGACATCCCCCAAGGGGTCCTGGATTGCAAGAGGGCGCAGGCCAGGCTGAGGGACCCCACCAGTGCACAAATCCGTGCACCGGGCCTCTAGTTGAAAATAAAACACTAGGGAGAGTTTGGGGCCATTCTCTGACCTCACCCTTTAGGAAAGGACTCTCCACCTCAGCACTGTGGGCATCTTGGGCCAGGTCCTTCTGGGTTGTGGGGACCGTCCTGTGCATAAGAGGGTGAGTAGCAGCTCCTGGCCTCCGCTCACTGCATCACTATGGCACCTTCCCCATCACACACGTCCCCTGGGTGCTGAGAACCGCGGTTCTGAGAACACGTGGCTGTAAGGGTGCTATTGCGTGGGGTGAGGGCCTTCGTGGGTGCAGCCCTGTGGTCGGCGTGTCCAGATTTATCTTATCACAGAGGGAGCTGCTTAAGCATGAACATTGTAGAGATGGCAGTTTTCTTCCTGCTTGAGGGACCCGCTGGTAGTCACCAAATACCGCCCAGCTAATCTTAGAAACTGAAAACACGAGGAACAAAAGAGAAAGGCATTTCAGCCATGTTCTCTGCCTAATTTAGCAACTTGGTGGAGACAGGGCCACAGACGGGGGACAGCTGGGAGTCTGACCTCAGTCCCCCGATCTTATGAATGAGGAAACTGGGGACCCGCCCCCTGAACCTGGGGGTTCATTCGCAGCAAAGCCCGAGACAGAAACCGATGCCTCTGCTATTTTTTCCCCTCTGCAGCTCATTCTTTATTTGGTTCTTGGAACTTAACCTTAGAAAACTTGTCCTGCCTCAGATTGCTAAGCTCCCGACATTGAAATAAATAGGAAATCAGATGACCCTTGGGTTCCAGTTTCAGGTCTGCCTCAGTTTCCTCGTGTGTAAAGCGAGGAGGACACCCACTCCTAGGGCTGCTCTGAAGATTGCGATGAGTGTGGTACAAAGGACTATGCAGATGTTAATTCAGAATGGACATAGCTAGTATGTCAGTAGGGGAATGTTGGATGGCTTTTCCCGTTACCTTCATGAATGGTAACATCGAAAGCACAGACGTGAGGAAGGGGCTCAGGTTGCGAGAGGAGGGTTGGAGGGCTGATACCTGGGGTTAAGATGCAGGTCAGGGCTTGTGGAACACTGGCTTTGAGGTCCTGATTATACCGTGGTGCCATGTTTATTGTCCTATGAGCAATCGGGCCAACTTGAATGCATGGGGAGTAACAGGAAACATGTATGTGCAGCCACCATCCACGGGGGCCATCGTGCTGGCTCTGTGTGGACATGGATTCCTGTGTTTTGGGGACCTTTGGACAGGCTCGCTGGGAGGCCATGTCCGTGCCATTCAGGGAGGGAATAGAGAGATGGAACGGAGTATGAGGAAACGCCACAGCACAGAGGACCCCGGGACCTGGGCAGACCATCGGAGCCGTCCAGAGGGGAGGTGACTGGAGTATTGAGGAACCTGGAAGCCGCCTCCTGTAGGCTCAGTCCAGAGAAGGGTCCTCAGCTGCCCTGGGGCCAGCACGTCAGAGAGATGTGGTTGGTTCTGTAGATCACCCAACCGTGTGGGCAAAGGCTGAATAACACCTAGTGATGGCAGGGAGATAGCTCCCAGGTCAGCAGGCAGGCGAACTCACTCACCAGGCAAACTGCCCAGGAGAGAGCGAGGTCCCCGTCCCTGGGGGAGGTCAAGCTTGCATTGGAGGGCGACCTGGCCTCGCTGCGGGAGAGAACAGGCCGTGCTCAGCTGGGGGGTGATCTCCAGCGCCCCTCCTCACCTGAAGTTCTTTGAATGGGAAGAGCCTTCAGGTCAGAGTTCACCCACAGCTTTTTTCCCCAATGTGTTGACTGACAAACCCTGGAGGAGGATTTGAAGCAGGAGAAGCAAGGGGTTGAGGCTCCCGATGGGAGTGTTTAGGGAGAACAGGTACTTCCTGCCGCCGGACAACCCGCAGCATCTTCAGTGCCAGGGCATGGCTGTCGGACTGAGATCCCTGGGAACATCCGAGGGCTGGACAAATGCGTGCTGGGGGCCAGCTTTCAGGGTCACCCGGGAGGACTTGCAAACAGGCAAGCGAGCATCAGCGGACGGAAGGGCAGATGGCTGGCAGGCCAGTCCCAAGACTTGCTTGTACAGCTAGGGGCGAGTGGGGACACTGCACGAACCCAGGCGGCTGGGAGGCCCTGCAGGGAGTTAGCGGTGAACTGAGATGGGACTCGTGGTCTCAGAAGCCATGGCTGTGGTGTAAGTGTGCGCAGAGCTGGACACATCCCCAGGGCGGCCTGGATCGTCATTTCATCGAGGGAGATGCTGATAGCACTCGGGCTTTCATGGCACAAGGCGTTAAAAGCCCATGGATTGTCAAGGGTTTACAGTGTATAGTTGCAGGGGTGGGGGGAAGTACTGTATGAGAAAGAATAATTCTTCATGTAGGTACATACATGTAGAGAGTGGAGCACAAGTAGGGTTACAGTAGTGAGTATGGGAAACACGGAGTTTATTCTTGAATTATTATTTATTAACTAGAGCCCTGATGCACGAAATTCATGCAAGGGGCTCGGCCCTCGCAGCCCTGTTTTGTCCGGAAGGTCACTCCGCTGTTCGGCCATCTGGACTAATTAGCATATTACGCTTTTATTATTATAGATCGTTGTATTATTTTACTTATGAACAACTGTAAACCTACATTTGCCCTGCCCTGTATAACACACACACACACAGACACACACACACACACACACACACACACACACACACACACACGCACATTCATTCCCCCTCACCCCCTGCCCTGCTGTTCTTGTCAATCCCTCTGGGCTATGTCACTCCCAAGGAGTGAGGCAGCATTCTAACCCCCCCGCCCCGTCCCTGATGGGGCCTAAGCAGAAGATGGAGTGTCTTGCTCACGGTCAAGAGACAGAACCAGAGATGCCTCCTTGGACCCCCCAGGTCCACGGGATATGACGGCAGCCTGAGGGCGTCCAGGGCTTTCTGTCCCGGCTGAAGCAGCGCTGTGTGCAGCAGCTTTGGATGCGGGTGAATCTGGATCCGTCGCTGGAGCCAAACCAGAGCCCTTCAGCGGCTGTGGGCTGATGCTGAAGAACAGGGGGTCCTTCCGCACAGGGTGTGGGGGCAGGGTCAGCGCCTACGCCTCAAGCCCGTGCTCACCACTGTCCAGTGCCTTCTGCTACCGGGCAGTGGAAGCGCAGTGCCCCCAATTTGCTTTTCAGAGTGATGGGTAGAGGTCGGGGTGGACCCTGTTGCATTTCAGAGATTTAACGTCTATAAAATAAGAATTCCAGTCCTGAAAGAGGAATGATGCTTTTGGCCAGGGCCACCCGGGTGTGGTCTGTGGTCTGTGGATGGCGGCCGGGCCGACGGTGACTGGTCTGTGATGAGGGGCAGAAGTGGAGAGGAGGCATTTAGTAACTTCGGGAGCAGGTGACAGAGTGACTTTATGTCTGTGGAACCCAAGAGCTGAAAAGTGGGGTTGAGCTCTGACCCATGTGACTCGGTGGGTTGGGCTTCCTCCTGGGCTCCGAAAAGTTACTGGTTCAATTCCGGGTCAAGGGCACATGCCCAGTTGCCGGCTCCATCTCCAGTAGGGGGTGTGCAGGAGGCAGCCTATAGATGTTCCCTCTCACATTTATGTTTTTCTCTCTCTCTCTCTCATCCCCTCTCCCTTCCTCACTCTCTAAAAAAAAAAATTGATAAAAAATATTTTTTTAAACTTACATTTTGAATATAATTAGAAATTCTTCACCACAATCTGAGAAGCACTGCTTTAGAAAGCAGTGAAGCCCAAAGCGCTTGTCTCCTGCTTCTCTCCCCAGAATTTCCCCCCCCCCCCGAATTTCTTTATGAATTTAAATCTCAGCATCTTGGTAAACTACCTGTGCTTCAGGATTACTGTGCCCAGTTGCTGGAAAAACACGTTATTTTGAGGGGAAATATCGTAACACTGGCATAGTAAAAGTAACACTAAAAACGTTAATGGTAATCCAACAAGGATGTTGACACAATTGGTCATCAAGTTGGTTAATGATCGTGTTGGCTTTGAACTCTTCAAACGAATGTCCTTTGCATGATTCCCATGTTACTATGAAGTGGTGCATGAAGTAGGTGTGATGCAATTTTCCCATTTGTTGACGGTTAATTTTGGATAAAGATTTCATTATGTACTCAGCCTTAAAGATACGAAGTTGTAGGCCAAGGCAGTGGGGACTTTATTTTTATTTGAAGAGCCGTGAACAAATCCTGGGTTGTGCACAGCATTGCCTTGAACCCTGGTCCACAAGGCCAGACGCCTCTTTCAGATGATCTCATCTCTTCGCATTGATGTTCTTTC